CTATTGTTCTTTCATACTATGGGTTGGATCCAGCCAGCTTTTCCCCTCAGTCTCATCCAATTCCCCTTCTTCCAACAGCCCCCCCCCCACGTGCCATGTTATATGAATGGGATGGACAGTTGGGCTGTGGGATTCACACTATTGTTCTTTCATACTATGGATTGGATCCAGCCAGCTTTTCCCGTCAGTCTCATCCAATTCCCCTTCTTCCAACAGCCCCCACCCCACATGGCTTTTGTCTATTCAGGTCCCATGATCCCCAACATAGGGAAGCTCACCTTTGTTTTCCACCAGCAGAAAAGCTGATTGGGTCCAGCCCATTGAATAAACCTTGGATCAGGGAAGTACACAGTCCCAGTAACAGTAACAAATATGCAGAACAGCAGTGTTGATGGTAATCCAGTCTCCCACTATAGCTTGAGACCTTTTGATGGCAGCCCCCGACCCCTGCTACTGCTTTTAGGGTGACGGGGGGGGGGAGCCAGGAAAATTGCTGTCACTCTGAAGGCACATCACTTCTGGTACAAACCTGGAAGTGACATCATCGCATTAGAGGATGGTAATCCAGTCTCCCACTATAGCTGGAGACCTTCTGATGGCAGCCCCTGACCCCTGCTACTGCTTTTAGCGTGGCGGGGGGGGGAGCCAGGAAAATCGTTGTCACTCTGAAGGCACATCACTTCTGGTGCAAACCTGGAAGTGACATCATCGCATTAGAGCAAGACTCTAGCGTTTTAGAGGAATCCTAGAGCATCCCTCCAACATGATGATGTCACTGTGGTGTAGGACTGAGAAACCCTGGTTCAAATCCCCACACTGCAGTGAAGCTATCTTGGTCTTTTTGTTCTAGTCAGACTCTTTCAGTCTTTCAGGGTTGGTGAAGACAGTGGAGAGAGGAATGCCATGTGCCGTTCAGCCTCTTGTAGGAACAGGAGGATAAAAACGTGACAGAAAGATTTATCTGTGTTTGCAGAATATATCTTCTAAGATTCAGACCTGGTAAGAGCTCTTATGATGTGGATCCAAACATAACATTAACCACTCTTTGTAAAGTGTTTTAATGTCAAAAGGCTATTATTAATGGGAGCTGACGTCCCAAAGGCAATCCGCATGGAGTGGCTCCAAACTCTAGTTCCTTTTGTTTATACACACAAACAAACTACACTATGCAAACAAAAAAACAACTGAAAAGAGAACTATTCTAGAACCAATATGAGAGTGTGGCTGGAGTGTCAGATTAGGACTGAGGAAACCTGGGTTCAGGTCTCCCAGTCGTGATGCTCACTGGGTGATCCTCAGCTAGTCACTCGTACTCGTCTCCCTCAAACTAACCTACCTCACAGGATAAAATGGAAGAGAGAACCACCACGTAGTCTGTCCTGAGCTCCTTGGAAGAATGGTAGGATAAAATCATAACAAATCATCCTTGATAGATTGATATCTGGACGAACACCCCTACACTGCCTGGGGGTCGATACAAATGTTAGCCTCCAGAACAGGAGTACGCAGCCTCTAGTACCTTTGTCAACAGCAGCCCAAGAGACCGTTTTGCTGGGCACCCAGGGCCAGTTCTCTGACTGAGGCCCTGGCAACACTACTTGGACCAGCGCGATGTGGGGAAAGGCAACAGGCATGCCTTATGCCTGTCATAACCTTCCAGACCAACACAGCCACCAGCCGAGTCCAAGGCAAATTTCTGAGATGGTGGACAGCAGCACTGGGGCTTGGCTTGCTCCGTGCATGTCTGGCCAAGTACAACCATTGCCTGTCACCAACACACTGAATTTGTTTACCAGCGCACCAAAAATCTTCATAGGTAGATGTTAGGGTTAGGCCTGGTCTGGCAACCAGCAGGAGACTGAGGGGTCAGAGATATAGTGGGTGTCTGTAGGGTTGCCAGGTGTTCAGTTTTGGACCAGATAGCCCAGTGTTTTCCCTTTCAGTCCAGTACATAAATTGAATGATAAACTAAATTATAAAACCGCAACCAACATGGTCAGGCTCCATACATGTGTACTTTCTGTCCCCTGTGGCTTGATAAAAGTGGTGATAGCCCCATCCATTTGTTCTTCATCACAGCCAGCAAAGTCTGAAAAGAACCAAATCCACCACTCAGCAGCCAGGCAGGACAGTCCTGGAGAAATCCTATTGGCTTGACATAAATAAATACATTGCTATCTATCTATCTATCTATCTATCTATCTATCTATCTATCATCTATCTATCTAACCATCTATCTATTTATCTATCCATCCATCCATCCATCCTGGACCCACTGGTGGACCTACTGATGGCACCTGGTATTTCTGGCCACTGTGTGACAGAGTGTTGGACTGGATGGGCCATTGGCCTGATCCAACACTGGCTTCTCTTATGTTCTTCTTTATCAGCACTTAGATTCAAAAGATTGTCTATGCCTGCTCCAGAGTCTTCACCAGTGCAGGTGTATATCAAACAGGACTCCAGTCTGACAAACATTCTCAAAACAGGCACAGAAATGTTCAATGGAAAGTTGGGCAGAAAGGTTTTTTGTGCATTTATGCTGAAGAATATGTCAGAATTCACATTTGGGGGGGTGGATGGGTGGTGAGGTCTCTGAGCTAGTTCATGCATGCACATTTGACAGCTACGTCCTCAAAGACTGACAGCTCAATGTGTGCACCCAGGCCTTTTACACTGCAGGGCAGCTCAATTGCTGATGTTAGTCCTGTTCTGATGCCTCATAACACGCACAAGGCATGATTTGCTAGTGCAATTAACAGGTATGTGTACAGTGGTGCTTTGTCCCTGCTTGATAAAGAATCAGAAAGTACTGCTGGGGGAAGACCACATAGGGCTGGAAGGTCTTAGTTGGAAGGAAGTTTTCAGAAAGCTAATTCATCAGGACGTGCCAAGGAAGAGAGTCTGGAGTCTGGCAACAAGGCCCTAGCTACCTAATTCACTGGGGATTCCACCTACAGTATCCTTGCATTTTTTAAAAACTTGGTTTGGGACCAAGGTGTGAGGGGAGGAAGCTTCAAGTTTCATTACCATTTCCCTGCCCATTGCAGATAAACCTTGTCCTTTGCCCCAATCCCCTGCCCTCCAGAAATTGAGGAATGAAAGAAAAACAGGCAGTATAGGTCCTCCAGAGTGACATGCTAGGAATTACCCCATATCTCTACAGGTTTTATGGTCTTTACCATAGAGATTGGGGGGGGAATCCTAGAGCGTCACTTGGAAATGGTGTCACATCCTTCTCAAACTCCTTGTTCCCCAGGTCTCATCCTCAAAATATCCAGGCTTTTGTACAGGAAGTGCTGGCAACTCTGCCCCCCCCCATACACACACACATGTGCACCATTTTCCTGATCACAAACAGACACATAACAATAGTCCTATCTAAGCAATTTACAAGCACACATGCATTTTATACTGAGGAAAACAGAATTTTTGTTTAGGAAAATGTGCCATTTTTATCAGAAGCCTTTTGAACAAGAAAATAGGATGAGAGAAAACTTAAAAAGCCCACTTGCACCACAATTGTGATCTTAATTGGTAAATGATTGTAAAAAAAAAATCTGGATGCTTCACACATGAAACTCACAGTGTACTGTGGAGTTATGGCTTCAGAGAAACTTTTTAGCCCATCCGTGAAACTTATAGAAATCAGAACAAGACAGAAGGTTTGGATGCATTTGTTTTATGCTTGCTTCGTCCAGATTGCTCTGCCATCTCCCACAGATAATTCAGACTAGCTAGAATTGGGGATGTCCCAGGATTTCAAGACAGCCAGCAGGTTGCTTAGTCAACCCTTTTGGTAACACCTAGAGAAAAAGAAAGGATGCCCAGTGAGTCTGTGTGGCTAAAGTGGCATGCAGATGGGCATGGCACAGTTTTCTCACAGTCATTGCAAAGAGTCCGAATGTGAGACACCAAGCCAAAACCTTTTTGTGGTATACACACTGTATATGTTTGTATGTATGTATGTATGTATGTATGTATGTATGTATGTATGTATGTATGTGCCCTGACCTGGATGCCCCAGGTTAGCCTGATCTCCTTGTTCTCAGAAGCTAAGCAGGGTAGGCCCTGGTTAGTATTTGGATGGGAGATCACCAAGGAACTCCAGGGTCACTTCGCGGATGCAGGCAATGGCAAACCACCTCTGCTCATCTCTTGCCTTGAAAACCCTGTGGGGTCGCCATACGTTGGCTGCGACTTTACAGCACTTTCATGTATGTATATATGCATGTGTATGTGTGTGATTGCCATCCTATTGGTTTTTAGTCATATGATTCTAGTGGCTGTGTTGTTTTCTGTGTTCTATGGTTGTATTTTATGGGTCATTCTAGTACTGCTTTTATATGTTAACCTAATGTCTTCTTACTGGGATGGAAGGTGGCCTGGTATAGCCCTCTCTTGTCAGATTTCAGGACTTGACAAGGAGACCACCTAGGAAGGCTCTGCAGAGGAAGGCAACGGTATACCACCTCTGCTTCTCACTTGCCTTGAAAGCCCTTTGCTGGGGTGGCCATGTTGGCTGTGTCTTGATGTCACTTTACACACACAGGATGCCTCCTTTGGCTGCCGTGTGTCAGGATATAAATCTCAATGAATCACACTAGAGTCTCCTGTTCATTTGTGACAGCGAACCCCCTGCAAAGAAAATTTCCTTCCAACATTTTCTGCAGCAGATTTTCCCCCTTCTGCATATACCTTTGGAGTTCAGTTATTTAACACCGTTCAATTGCGTAACTGAACTTTGGGTTCCTGAAAGGTAATTGGCTTTATCTTGAGAACAACACCAAACTGAAAGATTTCCAGGCCGAGATAAATACCCAAAACAAAAGGGCTGTTGAGATCTGGCACTGGCTGCTTCCTGGAAAATGTTTTTATGTTCTGTGATTCTACGAGATGTGTCATCTAATGTCACAGAGCCCAGAAGCCCAGTAATGCAAGGAAGGAAGTCCTTGGTGTCACCATATCGCTCAGGGCCACCTTGCTTGACTGTCCCTTACCCAAGTCATCACAAAGAAGCCACATCCTGTCTGTCTCAGGGTTGGTGGTAAGGGGACACCACAGCTTCCCGTCTATGCGCCCAGATGTGGTGCAGGTTGGGTAAGTCTTGCCACGGAAGACAAAGGGGAAGACACAGTCCGATTCTGGTTGGGAAAGAAGGCCAAGGAAGGAAGCAGGTTAACTGCTTTCACACAGTTTTTCCTCTTAGCAGTCACTCATTGGAAACAAAATCTTTGCAGGAACTGCAGAGAACTAAGCCTCTGATGAACCACCCCAATCTCAAGTCATTGTGAGCCAGCGTTTGGGTCATGAGACAGATCTTCAGCAAGGCCTGTGCATGCTACCCAAGCATAGGGTTGCCACCTGTGGGTTGGGGAATCCCTGGAGATAATTTGGGGGGGATAGATCCTGAGGGGCATGATTTGGGGAGTGGAGGGACCTCAGCACCCTTTAATGTCATAGAGTCCATCCTCCAGAGCAGCCATTTTCACCAGGGGAACGGACCTCTGTCATCTGGAGATCATGCTGAGAAATCTCCAGGCCCCACGTGGAGGTTAGCAACCCTAAGAACAAGACATATGCATGTGCACATACACATACAGCTGTGCTCTAGTGACTACACCATACAATCAGTGGAGAAGAGAGCAGTCAACTCAATGAGTGATTGTTGGTGGGAGAGACAGCACTGCGAAAACACGTTTTTCTCTATGATACATTGGAAGGCACGAAGCAAACACGGATCGTGCCCAGCTGCTTGATTCCCACCTACACTTCCCACATGCTCACCATTGCATAATCTCCACTTGAAACTGGTGTACTTTGGAGTGGTGGAACACCATGCTTTCCCTTCAGTGCGGCCCACTGGGATGCAGCTTTGGTAAGATTTCTCCTTATAGATGAAAGGAAAGACACAGCCAGTATCTGGATGAAAGGGGTGGGGAGGGAAAAGGAGGGAAGAATGCAACTGAAATGCTTTTAAATGTACTGGACTGTGATGCTTTCCTGTTGTTCAGGGAATGGACTGAATTCTTGGAATTCCTTGTCATAGATCCCTTGCTGCTCTCGCCCAGAATTCCTGATGGTGCCACAGTACATACTACAATAGAATAGCAGCCATGCTTCTTCCTCCCTAATAGCCATTTAGAATGAGGGCAGGAAGGAAAAATGGGAGAGGCCACGGCTCAGTACTGCAGAAGGTCCCAGGTTCGATCCCTGGCATCTCCAGTTAAGGAAGTTGGCAGTAAGTGATGTGAAAGACTGCCTGAGACCCTGGAGAGCCATTTCTAGTCTGAATAGACAATGCTGACCTTGATGGACCAAGGGTCTGTTTCATTGTAAGGCAGCTTCATGTGATCCTTCCTGCCCTCATTCCAAATTGACTTTGGAATCACCTGGATATAGGCTATGGGCTGTCATTACACTGGCATCCATGATTCCTGACTGGCAACAAAAAAAGATGTAAAGAAGGGAAAAAGAGGAAAATAGTGCCACAAAGGACAATGAATAGCTGCAGAGCAGGGTGAATTTCATGGAATATTCCAGGCCCTGGAAGAGCCCCCATTTGCACAAAAGTGCTCAGATGTGATCTTTAGCCCCTTTACCAATCCTTGCTTGGCCAATGAAAATTGATTTGTCATAGCCATGTCACTGGCCTGCCTTACTTTATATCTCCCTTTGTGCTGATGCCGCACAAGTCAAAGTCTGGAGTTTCCCCTATTGTTTAACATTCAGGATAGCATTACGTTATTCATATAATGATGTGATAACAATGATGATACAGAGCACCATCTGTCATAATAATGATGATAACAGACTCAAATCCTCCATGTCAAGAAATAATGAAACCAACCCAAAGGTCGCCCTTCTTGTTGTGTCTCAGAAATTATCAAAGCCAGAGGTCAACAACACTGTGGTGGGTCATATCCTTCTCATAACTTTCTGCCACTACTCAGTCACGGCCATCAGGCTTTATTCTGCCCCTAAAAGAGCGGCCATCCTGCACACGTCAGCATTGTATGGAGGAAAAATGCTTTACAATAATTTAGTCAGAGGGCTGGAGCAAGACACTGAGCAAGAGAAAGGCGACATTGAGCCAGACTTCCTAAATATGCAAGGAGACATCACACAATGGAGACTTTGAGGGACCAGTGGTCTGACTCAGCATAAGGCAGCTTCGTGTGTTCAACCACGAGTTCCCTTCCATTGGGCTCTTACTTGTGACAGTGCAAAAAGTCCATTGCTTGTCTACATCGTAGTTGCTGGTGGTGGAACACCAGAGCTTTCCATCCGTCCGTCCATCCTCTGTGCAGCTGCTGTAGTTCAGGCCATTGTAGATGAAGGGAAAGACACAAGGAGGACCTTCCTGGCTTGTATCTGGACCTGGTTTTTTTTTTAAAAAAAATGGAATAGGAAACCAGCATTCTAAATAGCAAGGAGATCCCCACACCTGGGGGTCCTATTCCTTTCTTCTTCAACAGCCCTACCCATTTTACAGATGTTATTAAGGACATGATTAATTGTTTTTTTATTATTTTCACAAAAAAGTGGGGTACAAAAGGGAAGAGGGGGTAGTGGAAAATATAGATTTATCAAATTTATGGGATGTTACGTACAGCAAGTAAAATCAGATGTTATTAGTAAGAATACATATTTCAAACATAGAAGCAGACAATAGAACATCAATGTTACAGCGTTTGGGGATAGGTTCTCTCTTTAAAAGAATAAACAAGAACTTCCCTAATGTTAGCGATCATTTAGTAAGAATAAAACTTAGATTTTGATAAACGATTAAGACAATATAGTTTGTTCAACTGCTAAAGATGTCATCTTTCTTATTGTGAATAGATTATCACTAACAGACTTGATCATTTATTTAGAAGGTTCCTATGCCACCGCTTCAGAGACCTGCTTGCAAAACAAGGCAGAGTCATAAAAACATGAAAATTAACAAACCATTAAAAAAAACAGCCCATCAAAACCCAGAGCGTAAAACAGAACATGTTGGTTCCCATATGCATGTTCATCTCTTGACAGCTGTCTGAATGGGCTGTAATAAGATCTGCAACTTCTAAGATGCAATCCTAAGAACACTTTCCTGTCAAAAAGGGCAATTCTGCATTGGCTTTCTCCTCTTTTGTTTTACAATGAAACAGAAATTCCCCTCTGCATTGCATGCTGCTTTCACTTCCTTTGATCATCAGGTTTTATGGTACCTTCTGCATAAATTTATGGCCATTCAGGGGGGGCTTTGCAGTCAGTACGGCATTGCCCCGAGGTATTTGAGTGTGGTTTGGAGCTGCACTTTTTCCTCCCAGTTGAGAAAATGTGGAGCGAATACTAGATGCAGTATCGCCCAAAGCCCCACTGAATAAACCTGAGTAGGATTTTGAGTAGGCCTGCTTAGGACTGTACTGTTAGTAAACTAATCTGTTTGATTAATCGATTGAACAGATTAATCGATTCTTTTATGCCAATAAAGGTATTGTATTTTTGTGTATTTGTGATTAATCGATTGAAAAACGATTGGTCTGCTGCAAAGGAGCCCCTCCTCTGGCAGCAAATTTCGTTTAGAGCACCAAGGAAGACTTTGCAGAGGAAGGCATTGGTAAAACCAATTCTTGGGGCTCCGGGCAGTGTACAACATTTAGATATAATTTAAAATAGTTAAAACATTAGAACAAGTACACTAGTCATTCTAGAGGCACCTAAAAAACATTTTTCCTTACCCCAGGGGGTGAGTGAATGGAAGGAGGTTAGGATGATTAAAACCATTGATTAAAACTGCTGCTGTCCTCTCAACCATAAGCCTGATGGAACGTCTCTACCTTATGAGTCCGGTGGAACTGACTGAGGTCCTGCAGGGCATGGATGTTGTTTGGAAGAGAGTTCCACCAGGTCAGACCCTGGGCCAAGAAGGACAGCCGGATATCTTTCAGGCCAAGGATTTCCGGGAGATTTTTCTCAGCTATGGGGTTGCCATAGGTTGGCTGTGACTTGACAGCACTCTGCGTACACACAATGTAAGCCGATGAGGCAACCCAAAGTCAAACAAAGTACGTGTGTATGAAAAGCATGTAAAGATGGTAGCATGAGGAAAGTAAGCTATTCTCCTTTTCCATCCGGATAGAGAAGCTCAAAATAGATTTAAAATATTAAAGTAATCATAGATAGAACCGGATGCCTTTAAAAGAATCATAATGATTAATTATTCATCATGACTCATTAATGAATTGGAGCTGGGAGTAAGCAGTGAAAAGGCTAAGTTTGCAGATGACACTATGTTGTTCAGGGCAGGGAGAACTAGGGAGAACTGTGAGGTGCTCCAGAGAGATCTGTCAAGGCTAGGCGAGTGGGCGTTGACATGGCAAATGACGGTCAATATGGGCAAGTGCAATGTAATGCACATTGGAGCCAGAAATCATAACTATAAATATACACTGATGAGGTCTAAACTTGTGGTAACTGACCAGGAGAGAGATCTTGGAATCATGGTAGATAATCGGTATGGGCACAAACCAGGAAAACGTAGTTTGTGACCATTTGTGGTTTATGATTCGTGAACCATGAACTGTCACAAACTGTAGAGCCAGTTTGGTGTGGTGGTTAAGAGCAGCAGACTCTAATTTGGAGAACTGGGCTTGATTCCCCACTCCTCCACATGCAGCCAGCTGGGTGACCCTGGGTCAGTCACAGTTCTTTCAGAGCTGTTCTCTCAAGAGCAGTTCTCTCAGAGCTCTCTCAGCCCCATCTACCTCACAGGGTGTGTGTTGTGGGGAGAGGGAGGGAAGCTGCTCTGAGACTCCAAGTGAAGGGTGGGGTATAAATCTAACTCTTCTTCTTCTTTAGAGGCTAAACAAACTGGTTCAGTTAATGCTACAGTAGAACATCCCCCCCCGGCATGCTAGAAACACCAAACTCACAGGGGGTCTCTGGCTGACTCCCTTCTATCTACCCTCCATGTTTGGTGAGGATTGGATTTACAAGGTCCAAGTTATCCCCCCCATAGAAGGTGCCCCCATCCTCCATTGTTTCTAATGGAGGGGGGAAGCAATAAAGGCAATGGCAATAGAAGCCCAGCAGAACAGAATCAAAGTTGCAGAGAATCTCTGCAGTAGAAACTGAAGGTGGGGGGCATTTTCACAAGCTCAGCAGAACCAGTGCAATGTGCGCAGCAGATCCAGTGCCACTGTGGCAGTGCAAACCCAACAGGAATAAGGAGATCCTTGGGGGGAGGCAACCATAACCCCATCTGTTGCCCTCCTCTTACCTGTGACATTACAATAAACCCATTTCTTATCAACATCATAAGTGCTGGTGGTGGCACACCAGAGTTTTCCATCACTCATGCCCTCAGCAGTACACATGTCATAGGACTTGCCCTTGTAGATGAACGGGAAGGTGCAAGGTGGACTTTCTACATCTGGATCTGGCCCTGAATTTGGAAAGAAGAGTGGGCAGAAGGTATTTGTGAACTGCACAGACCAGTACTGGGATCATCCTCGATTCTACACTTTGACACCAACACCATACACAACTTCCGAGGAAAGCAACACTTATGGACTGCCCAGACATTTCCCCTCCAATTGGTGCTTTAGGGGAAAATAGAGGATAGACATTAAAGGGATTGTGCCAAAGGCTTCATAGCAAAGGTGGGTTTTGAAAAACAATTTGAAAGAATAACAAGAAGTCGCACTGGACAAGTGCTCTGGAATAATAATCAACAAAAATGAAAGGGAAGATGACGGTAGTCCCACCATCTTTTATCAACCGAGTCCCCTACTTTAACCCAAAATATTTTCTCTGATATCTGGTCCTGAATCTTCTGGGAGTGGGTGGACGGGGTCTTCATTTCTATCTCCTCTTCTTGAACACACATGAAAACGGCTTCTACTGAGTCAGACCCAGGGTTAGTATCATCTACGCTGACTGACAGCTGTTCCCCAGGGCCTCAAGAAGAGTTCTTTCATGTCACTTATGACCTGATGAACAGGAGACACTGGAAATGAACCCGAGACCTTCTGTGTGCAAAGCAGATACTCTACCACTGAGCCACAGTCTCCCCTTTCTCCACCATTACCTGTGACTTGACAAAACTTCCACTTCTTGTCAGCATCATAATTACTAGTAGTGGCACACCAGAATGTCCCATCACTCCACCCATCTGTGGTGCAGCTCTGATAAGACTTGCCCTTGTAGATGAAGGGGAAGACACAAGGTGGACTTTCCATACTCTCATCAGGCCCTAGTGATAAAGAAATCAATAATATATGCTGCAAAAGAAGCAAAAAAAATCAGGCAGGAATTTCTTTCGAACACACAGCAGGACTCCTGTGAGAAAGACTTAAATCTTCCCCTCTGGATATTACATGGAAGACAGAAGCTTCTCCCCACGTCCAAATAGCCTGTAGTAGAGCACATCAAGTGACATATCACCCTATGCAATGTTTCCCTGTCCCCTGCGACAATTAATTTGTGCAGTCCACAAATCCCTGTCCCCTGCTGTTAGTGGGGACAGGGAAACAGTGTGCGCCAACATCACTAGAAAGAGGAGAGAAAGAAGCAAGAAGTGACAGAATCTAGTTCCACTCTGAACTTCATAGAGCTCAAATGTTCAGATTTACTTTTGCAAATGGAGCACCTGGAATTTTTTTATCAAAAACGATGGCTAGAGGGCGGGGGTAGTGTTGCCAACTTCCAAGTGGGGCCTGGAGA